CTCCGGCCTCCTTAGTGGTGGCTTGTTGTGTCCCACCACGGAGTTTGGAGTAAGGCAGGCCTGTGCAGGAACCTTGTGAGAAGGGCTCCTGTGCGAGAGCATCATGGAGCTGTTGTGTGATCCTCAGGCCGAGAAGGCCAGGCAAAGAGCACACAGCCTCTCTCCGCTTGTCCCCAGATGTGTATAGGGAAAGTAATAGAACTCACCTGAACTGCCTTCTCTGGGTTTGTCTGAGCCCTGGTAGACATCCTGGAAGTGGGGGACTGGATTCAGAACTTCTAAGGTGGCTGCGGCAGTGCTGGAAGCTGTGGGGGGCTCAGAGGGAGCGCTGGGGTCAGACATGGCTAAAAGACAGGCTGCTGTGTGGCACGGGGCTAGCAGCTGCAGGAGAATTGGAGCACTGAAGTTCTCAGGTGCGTGGCCAGACTGGACACACGGGCAGTTGTGAGAGGCCTCTTGAAGCCAATTATTTCAAAATAGCAGCTGAGCACCTAAGCACTAACACTATTTCGAAATAACAATTTCAAAATAAGCATTATTCCTCTTCATAAGCAGGAGTTGTTATTTCAAAATAACAAACCCGTTATTTTTTAAATAATTTTAAAAAACAGGCTTTGTCGTATGGATGCTCACCTTGTTATTTCAAAAATATTTCAAAATAACTCTTTGTGTAGAAATGCCCAGAGTGCAAAGCATAGCATCAGGAATGATGCTCAGAGCTTCATCTTGCTATCACAGAGGGGAATTTTCCCACTGACTTCAACTGGTATGGGAAGAGGCCCTATGTGTGCTAAGCATGAATTCACTGATGTTCAGATTTGGATTCACTCCTCTTGCCTCTGTCCACCACCTGAATCATTTAGTCAGTGTTAATAACTATGCAGCAGAAACAGCAGAACTGCAGAAACGAAGTTGACTACGAGTGAGCCATAGTTCTTTGATTCTGAGTTCCCACCTTTTTGATTGCTCCAACAAATATGAATGAATTCAAAGTGACAAAACAAAAAGCAGACAAGAAAATCATCATAGATTTTTATGACTTTGTGCTGTTTCATATGCAATTGATTTGTCACACAATATAAATAAAGGCAGCAGGAAGACACAGTATGTGAGAGCGAACCATCCCCAAAATGCTCCAAAGGAAAAAAGCTGATTTTCCGTGTGAATTAAAATAAATAAAAACCTTTTTTTCTGGTATTATGCACTGGCTACAGAACCACTGTGCCACCACGCAGCAGTGAAACCGTGCTAACTTTCTCAGATTGCTGGTATCTGCTCCCGTGCATCTCACCTGTTCTGTACATGAATCCATGTCTCTGCCTTCTAGTCACCTGTGTATGTTTGCATCTCTTATTTTCCCGAACAACATTCTAGAAACAGAGCTCTAGAACTCTGGGACTCTGCATCAGCACTCCCTTGACACTCAGGAGTAAACTATGAGAGCTCTGACGTTTTATTACCATTTCAGAGCTGGAGCAGCGAGGAGGTGTCATCTGGGCTGTTGGAAAAGCTGAAAGCTGTCCTCTGTTCTTAAACGGCTCTCTTCTTTTTCTTAGTTTTCCCTTACCACTTGAGTGCTCCTTCAGTAACCAGTTTACCCTGGCTAGCCCGCTGTCTTCCATTCTAAATCTAGTCTCCTTCTGACTTAGTTTTATGATGCCACAGAAGTGTTGCTTTATTTCTTCTCTCACCTGCCACTCCAATGCTTTAATTGCAAACTCAGCCTTCACAACTCATACAGCTCAGCTGCTTGTTCTTTGTACTGCTGTTGCATTCCTACCACAGAGCCTTTACACCTCAGGTTCAGGAAAAGTTTGATCTCTCCTCCCCATGCCCACTTCACTTTCTTTATGTCAAGTTTTCTTTGGGGTTGATGGCTCTTTCCCACACAATGACTACAGGGAAGGCCAAACAGCTGTCCCTCTTATTCCCCATCAGAGTAGCAGGTAACTTTCAAGGAGAAGCCAGTGGCTGTCTTCTATATTCCAGGGGCAGCAGGATTCAATCAGTTCCTCCTTATTGCAGCAGTCAACACTATTAGAATTTCCCCATTACTAGAGCCATTTATATTGTTCTGGAAGGAGTCACTAGGTGGCACTAGTATACATAGTCTTACAAGTTTTATCATGAAACTAACGTACAGTAGTTCTGTGATGTCATTTTCTCTGGTAGGGAGCTGTTGCAGACATCAAGACAGTTTGCTCCCTTTAAATGGAATAAATTGTTGAGGCAGAGTTGGTTCCTGCAATCTGGATAGGAGTTTTGGCAGAAAGAGGATTTCCTGCGTACCATTCATGACCACCCCTGTTCCAGAACTAAGGTATACAGTATAAAATAAACAAGTTGCATAAAAATAATAGCAATCTGAGTAATTGATTTTTTTTCCTCCAAAGGATCATCAACGCTATGTCTATATTATTCCACGTCTTTTGATCAAGCTCATTATTTCTAAATATGACAGGCTTGCTATTCGGACGTCCCAGTTTACTTTGATCTGCGAGCATTAAGGAACATTTCAGAATAGCGCTCTATTTTGAAAATAACTCAAAATAAGCTACACAATTTGTGTAGTTCAAATTGCATAGCTTATTTCAAGCTACGGGTGCAGTGTAGAAGCACCCCAACATGCAATGCTTTGTGTCTGCTACTTCTGTGTAGAAGTACAACAATATCTTCTGTTCTGAAATTTCAGAAATGCATGGAATGGTCTGAAGTGCAAATATTGGCAAAGGCTAGTTTAAAGGGGGGAGGGGAAGACATATCTGTGTTTTGAAATCTGCACTTTATTTAAAAAATCTGTGAATTATTCATATAAGGCCAAATCTTCAGCTAGTGTAAATCAGAATAGCTCTACTGAAGTCAAAAGAGTTATACCAATTTTGATATCAACAGAGAATCTAATCCAGAAGAATGTTTTGATTGCGCTCCTTGTTCCTATCTCTGACACACACCTGCTGGGTGAACTTGGGCAGGTGGTTTTCTGAGGGGCATGGTGTTACTTTGCAGTAATCTATGATTGTTCTATGTGGCCTGCTTATTGGAATGTTTACTGTATACATTTCATGGTTTAGTTTGATAGTAGGCTCAAAGGCTGTGATGTCCAACATGCTAGCTGCTAGCCACATGTGGCTATTTGGCAGGTTTAGTGTGGCTAGTTTGCTATAGCAGTAGCCGCTATAGTGTCTACTGCTTCAGAACTGGTTGGACACCACGGGAACAAGCAAGAAGGTTCAAGATAAGCCAGCCCCTGGTAAACACTTCAAGGGTGTTAAAAGATAATGCCAAAGCTATTGATCATGATGTTTCAAATTCAGCCTCTGGGCTCTAGCCAAATTCCAAAACTTGTTTTGCCACACGATTGGATCCAAAAAATCAAAAGGACTAAAAAAGAGTTTTAAAAGATTCTTTCTGCCCAGAGGTTGGCCAGCTATTGGAGATCAGATCAGCTATTGTTCTAGAATCTGCAGGGGAAGTTTGGAGAAGCTAGATGCTCCTAGATCAACATCACAGAACAGTAGGCTTTACATAAGATAAACGTTATGGCAACAGTTGTTTTAAAGTCATTTTTTGTAAATGATTTGTTCCTGCTGCTCAGGTTAAACAATATTTTTGTTTAACAAGGTCATCTCAGCACTGCATTCATCACTAATCAATCACAGACGTCCAAAAGGATGAACTGCAGGTATCCAAATCCAGTAGGCCCTGAATGGTTGAGACACAGGGTAATATAGCCCAGAGCCTGTGCTAATCGTGGGAGAATTGCAGAACTTTGCTTTACCTCACAATATACTTTATCTTTTAAACTTCTATTAAAGAATGTATATCACCTATGTTGTCTCCTTAATTCATCTGGAAACATGCATTTTTGAGTCTGCTGTTATTTAAGCATTAAAATGACATGGAGATCCCTTCAGTTTCCTGCGTTTTTATGTGTAATCACATGCACCGCTATATATATGGGTGACCCACTAATAATTATTATTTGAGTGTATACCTTGGGCTTGGGTATATCAAAAATTTGCCTCAGAAGTTACCTATGTGCACTAACCATGTGAGAAATAAAACGTCCAGGTGCTGTCTTGGCTTCCATTAACTCATATTATGACCACATCTGAAGAGTTAAAGAAGGCACCCTGGACTCTGGGTGCCTGTTTGCCTCATTGTGGCCTGTGAAAAGTATGACTAGTCAGCTGGCATGCAAACAGCCATGTTCCATGCCCCATGCTGGGCGCTAATTCACTGCCATGCTAAAGATTCCTTGATGTGTAGGGCCTGAAGCAGAAGATCTAGTTTGAAGTATCTTCTATTTGGATTCAGTTTAAGTTGTGTGGAAATTTAACCCTGCTAACAACTTTGTAAATATTTGCTCATTCTTATTTTTAGTAATACTTCTCAGTTATCAAATCTGATTTATGTTTTCAGAAGTGTCTAGCGGTTTTAAGTTCCTCACTTTTTGGCTGCCCATTTTATCACTGAGATAATTTCCATACGTCGGGTGCCTATCACTTTGTAGAGATTTGACCTCTTAAAGTGGGCAAATGGAAATAGATACCCCCCAATCACCATTAGAACTGGGTGAAAAAAGGTAATGACAGTTCATGAAAATTTTCAAAAAAGGGGAAAAAAAGAAAATCTTTCCTTAAATCTTCAACGAACAGTTTCAAAATGAACTTTTCCAAATTTTTGAATATTTTTTTTAAAAGCCATTACATTTCAGTTGTAACTTTTACTGTATTTTAGGCTTCTCTACAGTTCTGTTGATAAAAATAATCTTTTATTGAAAAAAACCAGTGGAAGTATATACACTGAAATACACTTTCTGCACATGTAACTCTATGGCTATGCTAGTAAACACACAGCTACAAGCAGGATAAAGCATTTTGAAACATAGTTAGAGTGATACAGCATCAGTGTGACACCTCACTTGGTTATGTCATCATAATTGGCCCCCAGGATATGTTCCACAATGCCCATCATGACCACTCTGGTCAGCAGTTTGAACTCTGCTGCTCTGAAGATAACAGATATGCTCCCCTCCCCCATTTAAAGGCTTGGGAATTTTTGAAATTCCTCTTCCTGTTTGTTCATCCTGCAAAGTTCACACCGAATCTTCCCAGCTGACCAAGCCATCCTATGCAGCAGACCTGCTTCCATGTGGAGCCCACTGGAGCTGTTGTATCTGCTGAGGACATGGGGAGAGGAGGCTGAGCAGTTGAAGCTTTGCACTAGCTTTAGGAATTTCGATACCTGAGGGCTGATTGCTAGTGGCATGCAGGAGAAGGGGCAGAGAAGGGACACACAATAGCATCATGATAAAATTGAGGAGCGGAGGCAGGTAGGTGTACAGGAATGCAAGGGAAGCCAACCATCACTTTGAAGTGGTACTGAAGACATACTGCTTCCACAAGGAACTGTAAACCATCCTTGGTGGCAAAAGCCCCATAGATAATATGGGGGACTGAAGATAGCATCCAGTGGACTAAATCCCAATGAAGAACTGGCCTAGTGGAGGATGGTGTGGAGCACAAGGCAGGGTCATCAGGTGGTGCAGCAAGTCTGGAGAGCTCTAGATGGCTCACGCACTCTATCTCAGGTGCACACAATACAGGAGAGAGGGCCCTCTTTGCAAACCAGACTGTCCCTTCTTCCCCTTCTCCCCTTACCAATTTCCTCCATTCCCACAAACTCATCATGAGTGGGACTTGTAGGGTGCATCTACACTGCACCATTATTTCAAGATATGTAGTATTATTTCAAAATAACAATGTGAGCATCTACACAGCCATTCCATTATTTTAAAATAAATTCGAAATAACGGACGGCTTATTCCGAAATCTGTAAACCTCATTCTACAAGGAATAACACCTATTCTGAAATAGCAATTTCGAAATAAGGCATGTGTGGACGCTCCACTTCTTCTATTTTGAAATAGCCCCTCACCAGGGCCATTCTAACTTATTCCTCCCCCATGCCTCCTGGAGCTCTAAACTGAGATAGCATATCTGCATTAGGGAGACCTGCCTTGGACTTATTTTAAGGCTTCCCTGCAGTGTAGACATGCTATTTCAAAATAAGGCATTCTGGAATAACTATTTAGAAATAAGCGTGCACTGTAGATGTACCCATAGTGACCTGTGTGCTAGCCAAGGGACACCGAGAAAGAGGTATGTGTAACTTTTTTGATAGTTTCTGGGTCTTCTTCATGACTGTCACTATGTTAGAAGATAGTGTGCTATAATGGAATTCATAGTACCCTTTAAAAGCCATTGCCAACTTCTTAAGAAATAGTTCTGACTTCTGAAAGAAGCATTTTGTGAATTGCCATTCCAGTTTTCCTCACAAACATATATTATTGCTTACCTGATCTGGGGGCTAATGTCATTTAATGTTTTACTCTGCATGTCTCAAGAGTTAGAAATACAAACATCACTTTAGTTGTAGTGATGATGAGTTCAGTCCAAACCATATGAAGTCTGGATCTGGATCCAGATTTTGTTCGTGACCTCTATTTCTACTTAACATTTGAAACAAGCCCTCTACTTGGAGACATCTCAGATCCAAACTTTATAAGTTGGACTGATAGCTAATTTGACTGTAAGTTAGTTGTTACCTGTAAGATACCCAGGAGTCCCATACCAAAATGTGTTCAAATCAAACTTGGCTAAGTGCTGGGATTTTTTTATGAGTAGAGAAGAATGTAAAACTAATATAACCATGAAATGCTTTTAAGATGAAGCTTGCATTATTGTCCATACTAATATTTTTAGTACAGTTTTGAAAAGAGTTTGCCAAAGTTCTTAGCATGAATTTACCACAGGATGATAAATTTTGGCAACTTTAATTTCTTAACACTTCCTCCTCTTTAGAGTTTCCACAACAATGCTTCCCACAGGCCTATTTTACAACAAAGCCCTCAGTGTCCACCTTAGAGTTAGCAGCTGTAAGATAGTTTAAGTCACGTATGCCCAAATCTATTTTGTTTCCTCCTGAGATCCAGCCACTTGGTTAAAATAATGTATATGCTGTGTAGTAGTCAAACAATAAGCATGCTTTATTTTTTAAATGGAGACATATTCATTCTTCCTACTCTATTTATACTGTGCAACTAAGTGGAATCTGAGCACCTAAATGTAGGTGCCTGATTGGGAAAGTTGGAGGGAGTGTGGGTTGGGCCCAATAAATGTAATATTAATTGAAGCAAGCTGACAATGGAACTTTAAAAGGAAGCAAGTAAGCCTGAGAGAAAGTCTCAATGGCCAAAACATAACTGTTTTATGTGACGAAGCCTCTATTTATACTGTGCAACTAAGTGGAATCTGAGCACCTAAATGTAGGTGCCTGATTGGGAAAGTTGGAGGGAGTGTGGGTTGGGCCCAATAAATGTAATATTAATTGAAGCAAGCTGACAATGGAACTTTAAAAGGAAGCAAGTAAGCCTGAGAGAAAGTCTCAATGGCCAAAACATAACTGTTTTATGTGACGAAGCGGCTTGATCCCCCCCCCCCCCCAACTTCCTCATGAAAGAAATACATGTTAGAAAGTTTATCTAATTCTTCCCATGTGAAAGGAGTGCAAGCATGGAGCATACAAAATCTCCCCTTTTGTTTTCTCATTATTATTATTATTTTTTTTTATTCCAACACCCTCTTGCCAAGCTCCATTCCAGGTGTGAGAGCTTTTCCTGTAATTTATCCTTGGTACTCTATCCAAAGTGTTACCTCCAGAACTGTTTCCTTCTAACATTAATTATCCTTTGAATCAACTCACCCACAGTACTCAAAAAAGGCATAGACACTTGAGGGGAGGGGCAGTTTCCTCATTGAGCACATGTGCTTCTCTGTCCACATATAGAGAGAGACTCCACCAGCACCTTGAAGCCATTACAGCATGTTGTATAGGAACCGAAGTTAATAAGTATAAAATAGGTGGTTATTGCTTGCTTATGTGCCATACTGTTTCCCATATGGTGCAGTCAGGGAGCTCATAATGCTGGGGCTGTAACATTAGGATAAAAACTCAAGAAGAATGGATGTAAACCTAGGAACTCGACTAGTAACCTCTTTCCAAACAGTATCTTCCATGTAACAGTAGCTGTGCATGTGTTGTCTTCTCTTGCTCTCTCAGCCCAGATGAATAAAGACTATAAACCCAGTAGGGGTTGTAGTTGTCTTTGCAGCACACAATACACAAAATGGCAAGGAAGAGGTTAATCTTTTGTCCTCCTTGCCCACTAGAATGTTTATCGACTCACAGGGAAGGTCTCCTTTCTTTCAGTGAGTTAAGTCAGCCTCTGCTTTGTTTGACGCTGCCCATTTGAGGAAAGCTTATCCCCGACCTTCTGCCAGAGAGACTGATGACAAGGACGGTTTGCACTAACCTTGACATTCACCAGGGTAAATGGCTTTTTCCACAAGTAGTCAGCAAACAAGGAGAGCCAGTCAAGAGCTAATGAATCTGTACCTGAGAGAAACTGAACAACAATTGTGCTTTTAAAGAAGAAAAGGGGCCACTGCTTCAAAGGTTGGAGAATTAATTCTTACAGCTAATTTTAGAGGGTGTTTTTTTAATTTATACCAGAAAGAGAAAAGGAAAAAATAGATCTTCAGTTTGCCAGCCTCTTTTCCCCCTGGTGCACGCACGCACGCAAACGCACACGCACACACAAGGCCTGCCTGAGCTATTTTGGTGCCCCAGGCCCCAGGTACATGGTGCCGCCCCCGGAGCACATGGCCCCGCCTCAGGGCACACAGCGTGTGGGCAGACGCATGGTGCATGCGCTGCTCAGTCGGCCCGGCCCGGCCCGGCCCTGCTGCGCCAAGCCATGCAGGGCCCTGCAGCCGCGAGGGGAAGGGCACTGCTGGCTGGGGCTGCGGGGGGTAACACGGCCCCCGCCCTGGGCGGCCGCTGCAGCCCGCTGGGAGCCAGGTGCCCCCCCGTAGGATGGCACCCTGGGCAGCTGCTCGGCTAGCCCAGCCCTTAGTCCGGCCCTGCACACACATACCCTTACTCACTCCAAGCATTCAGTGGGGTGGTGTTTACCGACCAGTGGCTGGGCAAAAGAGAAGATAACAACTGAGACAAGTATAAGGAAAGATACTGAGAAAGAATACTTACTCAATTCTGTGATTATTTTATCAAAGTATAAAGATATATCTTTTTACTCGTGTTCCCTCTTCCCTTTCCGACAGATATTTTGCATCCCAATTACATGTGGTAGTATGGTTACAGAGACAGACAAAGTCCATGGGTTTGCTTCAGGGCCTCATTCTGCTTTCTCCTGAGCTGTGTTTGGTGCAAGAAGCAGTGCTGGGGATGGCTAAATGTGAGCACAATGTTTTTGTTCCTCTTATATCCTAGGCCTTGCCTGAGAGATTCCTGACTGACTTAGAGCAGCTTCTTAGCTTATGTAGCCTCCATCTGAGAGTGGGAACAATATGATTCAACATGCACACAGCATACCCCCAGTGTATAAGTTGGCAGGGAGCCCTACTCTGCCCAGGGAGCCTAGGGATGGCTCTGCCAGCATTATGGCAGAGTACAGAGGCAAGAGTGCATGTCAGAATCTGGTCCTTTGTATTCAAGTCTCTTTACAATAAAACACAAAAGCAGAAAACTACCTTTTTTTCATGTCAAGGAGGACATTTCTCTAACTCTTTAGTTGTGGTCTGAAAACAATAGGAAGAACCCTGTCAATTGCAGCATATTTCACTTTTCCATTACCATCTAGATGAAGTATTAATATTACTAATTAGTTTGCTTGCCATCTTCCTAAATATGTGCTTATGCAAGTGCTGGACTGACAGCCCTGTGCACTGAAATCGATTGTCTAGCCCATCACCTTAGATAACATTCACACAGTAGTTTTAATATTTGAGGTATTTCCAAGAGGAAGCAGAGGTGTAGCAAAAATTGCTGATACTGAGGTGACTTTTATCCTAAACAAACAGGTAAAGAAACACATTTTTTCAGAGAGAGCCGTGTACAGTAGCCGCACAAGGGGTTCCCACAATGGTGTACTGAGTTTTCGCAAGATGCTTCTAATGGAAATAGGATTATTCTATCTCAAAGCCCAGCTGTAGAGGTAAGAGGGTAATTTAGTGTTCATGCTCATTCCAGCCTTGGCCTTCCTGCTGCAACTCCCAACAAGGGAATTGATTATGATCTGTGTGCCCACTGACTAGAAACTAAACTATGCCCTCCAACAACTCGTCTCACATTTAGGCAGTTCACTAGGTGATTAAATTGTAATCAGAACAAATTGAGGCCAGATTCTGACCAGCTCTGTACTGAATAACCAGTCCTCTAGGCCAGCATTGGGCAACATAGGTTAGTGAGTGGGCTGCATGAGTGGCCCTTCTGGCAACTGAACCACAGTAGTGTTGGTCTGGATGCAGAGGGAGTGCATGGCTCTTACAGCCAGTCTTATGTGTAATCAGCATGCCCTCAACTTCATGTCCTTGCTCTATGTGTGTATCACTTTAGTTATACTTGTAGGAAAAAAAACCAGCGAGAAACCAGCGGAATCTGGAAACCCTGCATGTGGGCATGATAAACAAAATGTCTCCTGGACTGCACACAGAACTCCAATGGGCCACATGTGGCCTAAGGGCCACTGGCTGCCCAGCACTGCTTTAGACCATAGTTGTCTTAAATATTTAAGAATCAAGGGCCAGATCTTCACCTGGACCTCTGCCAATTTACAGCAGTTCAGAGCTGACCCAAAAGATGTGCTAGGGAAATGAAACCCAAAGCTAAGTACCATTATTTCTAGATAAAAGGGGAGGGACTCAAACTAGCAGTTGTCTAGTGGGACTTAGTTTCATGGCTCATGGAGTCTGTGTCTGATTCTGCCACTAATTCATACACATACAGTTACTGACAAGGGGTGGAGCAAGTTCTCTGCCTCGCTATGCACATTTGCAAAATGGGTATATTAATATCTACTTAATGGGCAAGCAGGGATGTTTAATTCTTCATAATTCTAAAAAGGCTTTGAGATGCAACATGAGTGAAATGGCTCAGTCCCCTTGCTAAATGTCAGATACAGGCCAAGGAAAGGGGCTGACAAGGCCAGCAATGCCTTGAAAAAATTGCCTTTTAATGTCCAGTATTGCCATTTGATGTTGTCCTAAACAATGTTGTTCTCATGTTTCCATAAATAGTGTTTTAAAGACAAAACAGAGTTCTTGAAAAATGTCCATGTCAGTAAAGTAAAATGTACATAAAATGTCAGATTAAAGCAAGATTGCTTGATGTTTCTTTAGGTGGAGCTCTGTCTAGCTTCTGCAACATGCATCGTGACATAACATTTGAATGAGAAGAGAACAGGAAAGAGGGAACTTGAGGATAAATTAGCATGTAACTTTGTATGTGGCTAGGATTGGCTGCTTTTTGCATTTGCTGATCAAACATGCAGGAGTCCCTTGAACTGTCAGAACATGAAATGTGGAGCTAGCTCAAAGTAAAGGGCCAAACCTTTCAAAGTGAGGACGGTGGGCACCCCTGGGTGAAGCCTGTCAAGAATGTGTCGACGGCAGATAAGTATATAACCTTGTGAAAGTCTAAAAACAAAGCTGCAGCAGCAGTGAAGCTCCCAGCGAAAAAGTTGTATACAGTGAAGAAGATAATATTTCATCTCCCTCCGGGTCACTTGGTTCTCAGCAGTGTTCTCTGTTTGAGATTTGAGGATTTGCAGACAGACAAACTCCACAACCCAGCAAAGGTCAGTCTAAATATCAGCCAGATAAACAGCACCTTAACCATAAGCACAACTCCGATTTATGGTACTCAATTTATTCTTTCCTTTACATGATAAAGTGAAATGTGTGCTTCATCAGAGAGCCAGAGCTGAAGAATTTAAAGGAACATAACTTACTGTGGTGCTTTAAAAGGAATATATTTTTCTGTACTTTCCTCTTTAAGTTCTTCCTTACTCACCATTTTGCTTCTGAGCATTCTTTTTCTTCTCCTCAAATAACAGAACACCAGTCATGCAATTACTTTGAAAAATAAGATGTGGGTGCAAGAAAATCCAGCTGGGCTGGATTCACTCCTAGTGAATTTCTGTTGGGTGAAATCTAAATGAGGATGAAGAGGGCCTACTTTTATTTTTCAAAGTTGTGATTTGAGGTTAATGAATGCATGATACTCATGACAAAGAAATTATTCCTGGCTGCAAGGTACAGCAAGTCAGACTTACACTCCCATCAAATGGCAGTTGTTTGCAATCTGCAAACAATTGGAAGCCCATTAAAAGCATTGGGAAGGGTTTTTTTTCGTCTGGGTTGACACAACCAAATACTTTCCCACCATCTGTGCTTTTTACTACCTTTCAAATACAGTAATGAAATAATAATAATGAAGGACTTCTCCTAGTGACGGTCTCCCCCACTTTTTCTAGAACCATTTCTTACACTGAACAGATTCAAAGAGACCTGCAGGAGACTTAAAAATAGAATTCTGTTTGTCCATTACCTGCCCTTAGTTTTCCTCAGGAGCTAAGCACTGTCTTTACCTAAGTTTTCTTGTTATTGCCTTACTTCTTCAGATGCTTTGCCATGGTAATATCACATGTCAGAGTCAAAGAACTCCAATGTATCACTTGGAATGGGAGTTTTGCATGAGCAAGTCTTCAGAATCATCTCCCAAAAAGGAAGAATAAGGTCCTGATAATTCCTGTAGCTTGTGTTCCAGACTTTGTTTCATATGCCTCTCACAGAGTATGTCAGAGAACTAGAGATCTGACATATGTCCTCCCTGCAGTATACAAGATATTGGGATGGTGCCAGATTGGTATGACCATACTAAATGAATGATGTGAGTGCAACTGGACATGACTTAAACATGGCTGAATAACAGAGGATTCTAGGAATATGTCCTCATTAAGCAAAAGTAAACTGACGTAAACTTGATGAGTCAAACTGGCAAGTCATTGTGGACTGGACTGCATACACAACCAATACTGGACTTATTGGTCAGTAAATATGGGCCCATGAAAAGTAAATATCATATGAGAGGAGTCCCAGTATGGAACACGCTGACTTGGTCATCATAACCTAATAGCCTAAGGTAATGCAAAAGACAGAGTAAATAATTGAGTGAATATAGAGGGGTGATTTGGGGTACCACCTCTCTAGCCCCTTCCAAATACAAGTTAGGTAAGAATGAGCAATTAGATGACCATTGGGCAGACTTTTAAGACATGTGGTTCCTTTGGGGAAAACAAAAGGATAAAAATCAAAGTAAATTATTAGTAGTGGGGAATTCTTTAATTCAAGCACTTGTAGAAGCCAGCGATGCTCCACTGTGTAGATTAAGGGACTGTGAACCAGAGGGCTTTCAAGCAACCAAGGTCTTGCTTCGGGGGAACAGACCAGACCCTGACAAGAGGGGAACAGACAAGAAAAAAAGCCATCAGTAGAGTGATAACCACCTTCCCTGTTTGCCAGACAGGCACTGTGTGGGGCCAGCACAGGAATTGTCTGTATATGTTTGTGAAAGAGTCTCCTTTAAGGGAAAGTATAGTTTCTAATATATTGATATGTCTAACATAGAAGCTGTGTGCTCGATGTAACACTTTTACTGCTGGTATAATTCCTTCTCAATAAACTTGCCACACCAGCACGGGTAAATTCTCTGGTTTAACCTTTTACACTGACAGCAAACAGTAACTTGCTTTGTTGGGAGCCAGTAAAGATCCAGAAGGGTTGAGTGTGGGTGTTGGGGGGGGGGGAAGGGATGGAGCAAGGGGCAGGAATAAGCCCCAAACGCTTGACTTTCCAACACAAGACACAGGAGGTAAGCAGTTTTGCATGTGATTCCTTTATTTTCATTTGTACTAAGTTCCCTTTACGCCACTTTGGGGGTGAAATCCTGGCCATTGGTATTGCGCCATTGACTTCTGTGAGGCCAGGATTTCATTCTTCCAGGGTGCAGTAGCTTTAAAGTGGGTTCCAATTATCTTTAAATGAACAGAGTGAATATGATGAATAATCCACATGCCTGAGCACTGTAGCTATGTTGACACAACCGCCACAGTAGATGCAGCTAGGTCGATGGAAGAACGCTTCTTGTGTTGCAGCTACCATCGCACTGGGTGCTGGAGTCTCTGCAATGAACGGTGACACTATTGGGGCATAGCTAGAGCTTTCAATTTTTTCAATTTTCCAGTTTGAAACCCAGATACCTTGTTTACATTCCAGTCATGTTTGGCTTCTGTATCCATTTCTAAGTATTGCATGTAGGTTGTTGTCCTCGTCATCATTACCACCACCATCCTCATCATCATCATTATCATCATCACATCTAGTAGCTTTAAACAGGGGCCAAGACCCGATTGTGATAGGTGCTATGCAAACCCAGAACAAACAAATGGTTTCTGCTACAAAGGGCTTACAATCTAGGATCTAAGTATAAGACAAAAGACAACATATGGATACTGACAGAAGGGGGAGTACAAGCAAACAATGAGACATTCTTGGTCAGCACAATAGGCAGTGGCTTCGGCACATTAGCAGCCTAACCATATATACCTAAAGGTTCTGTTTTTTTCCACTTGAACTCATTTGCCTTTATCCCAACTGATACAGTAGGTTTTGTGGAAACTGATTTTTAGTGTCACTGCACACTTGATGTAGTTAAAAAATGCTACTTCTGAAGCACTATAAGCTATCATTTGTCAGCAAGGTATACAGCTATAGGCTGTTGTCACAACTTTAGATGCCAATAAAGTAAACCATGGTTCAGTCACCCTACTCTGTGGCCATTTGTAGCCGCAGCCTCTAAATCATGCAAATTATCTGCCTGGTCTGTAATCTTAATACAAAAAACTTTTCAATAATTTGTATGATTTTATAACACGCAGACACATGGTAAAGTTGTGAAAAATATTAATGTTATTTTAATTGCTTATAAGTCCCCTATGGGAATCTGTATTTTATAAGAATACCCCTTACAGTTTTCACATCCAGTAAAAGATATTTTGGGTCCACAGAGGACTGTAATTTAATTTGCTTATCTCTTTCAAGTTATTTTTTCCTCCAAAAGCAACATTTTCAGCATTAAAATTTAAGGCTACATTTTGGGAGCTTAAATTCGTTTTTGGGATTTTATATTGAACAATGTTAAAAATGCTATTTTGCTTGAGTGCAGGGCAGAGTAAGAATGAAGAGCTGTTTGGATGAAGAAACATGGACCCAATGTGAATGGCAGGAATATAGGGACACACATTCATAAGGGTGGACAGCAAGTTGCATCTCTAATGCCTGTTAAATAAAGCAGACATTGGGCCTGTAACTCCCAATGCTCTGAGTTGAGCTGGCATCCCCATAACATCGCTACAATTTATTCATTAATACTTAGGAGATGGAAGAGTGACATGCTATTAACATTTGTTATTCTAGATAGTTTACTTCAAAATGCACTGGGGATTTGACATAATTACTGGAATACTCCCTTGCTACCCATGCTCGGGGCAGTGGGGAATGCAATATCATATTGTGAAACACAGAGATCCCAGGATATGGTGGGAGTCTTTAAATTGTAATTGAAATATCATTCTAAAACATTTTTTCTCATAATTTTTGACCCACACTTCTATGACCTGAGCAGACATCACCTGACAATTAGGGTTGGGTAAATATCTTCTAAAAAATCTGCAAATATTCACCAGCATAAATAAATAAATCTTGCTTCAGTTATGTTTGGGCCTTTCTTTCCTTTTTCACACACAAATTCACTGGCAGGCATATTGGCAGAAAGAGCAAACTTTAAGCAAATATTAATACTCTTTTCAGAAAACAAATTTTAAATTCATTAGCATGAATGTGCGTACTAGGTTCTAGCTCTGTCATCCGGAAGCATTAATAGAAATGCGTGCCCTGTGTGTCCAATCAAAACAAACTGGCACAGCTCAGATATCAATGTTTCACCATAAACTGCTTACAGACTAAAACATTCTTGCACACATTACTCAAAGCATAATTCTAAAAAATAAATAAATGTTAGAAATCTGTAAACTGCTTGCAGACAATTGACACACAGGAAAAAGGCTAATTTCACTGTGTACACGATTCTCTATTAATTACTCAGGTCTGCTGACAGTGCATAAAAACACTGGATTGAGTTTTATGGCACTACTCAATATCACCAAGGCTTTTCAAAATGTATTAAAATATGTTTTTCTATGTTGACATTTCTTTGGGGAATTTAATCATTCTTTACTAAATAAATTCAGTATGAACGTAGGAAGAAGAGGGCAGTTCTGATTCTCTGCATACTCACCAGCCTTCTGGTATTTATTTGTAATGGGACTCTTTGAGGCTAAGTCTACACTACACTGTTCTTCCAGAAAAAGCTACGCAAATTGCAAACCACAATTTGCGTAGCTTTTTCCACTTCCTTTTTTCGGAAGAGGCTTTTCTGACATTTGGCCCATCTACACTGGGCCAAATGTTGGGGAAAAAAACCATTTTTGGAACATCCCTTCTTCCTCGTAAAACAAGCTTTACAGGGATCATCATCACATCTAGTAGCAAAAAAAAAGTACGTCTGCTCTTCCAAAAAAAAAAAATTGTAAGAGCAGACACATTCCCTGGATGTGGCAGAGTTTTTCCGGGATACCTCTAGACTCAAGTCAGAGCTAATTGCTATATATTCTTCCTGAAGAGTCCTTCCACTCTTTCTCCCCTTTTATGTGTTGGTTACCACATCACCTTCCCATTCATACAACTTAACTCCCCTTTAGCTACCAGCAATAGTACTGATCTAAAAAAACCTGCATTATAGTCAGTGGGACTCTATCTTTGGCTTCACATCAGGAACTAGATAAGCAAGAAGCTTCTACTTTAGCTACAGGGTGACAATCACGGTTCACTTTCTTTTTCACCTGCCTGCTGCTTAGCACAGCAGCCTGTGGGAGAACCCCAGAAGCCCAGGTGGGAATGTACTGTGCCTCCTCCTGCAGCTGAGCACACCAGCTG